TTGCACATATTGATCTTATTTCTCTATTCTACTCAAACTTGTTTGTGATACATGAAAACTCCCAATTATTTAAATGCTATGTATTTATTATATTTATGCCCTAAGGAGGGTTTTTTTTTTTTGTTTGTTTAGCCAGTGCAATGCATTCTGGGGCGATGACATGAATAGGTTGTAGTGGACTAAAACACAAGGAGTCGAGGCTAAATGTTATACCACGTGGCAATAAAGTTATATACAGGTGCTGGGCATAACATTTGAATATTATGAAAAAGTTGATTTATTTCAGTAATTCCGTTTAAAAAGTGAAACTTGTATATTATATTCATTCATTACACAGAGTCTGACATTTTTCAAATCTTTATTTAGTTTAATGTTGATGATTATAACTGAAAACTAATGAAAACCCCAAATTCAGTATCTCAGAAAATTAGAATATTGTGAAAAGGTTCAACATTGAAGAACCTGGTGCCACACTCTAATCAGCTAATTAACTCAACAAAGGCCTTTAAATGGTCTCAGTCTAGTTCTGTAGGCTACACAATCATGGGGAAGACTGTTGACGTGACAGCTGTCCAAAAGACGATCACTGACACCTTGTACAAGGAGGGCAAGACACAAACGATCATTGCTGAAGCGGCTGGCTGTTCACAGAGCTCTGTGTCCAAGCACATTAATAGAGAGGTGAAGGGAAGGAAAAGATGTGGTAGAAAAAGGTGTACAAGCAATAGAGATAACTGCACCCTGGAGAGGATGGTGAAACAAAACCCATTCCAAAATGTGGGGGAGATTCACAAAGAGTGGACTGCAGCTGAAGTCAGTGCGTCGAGAACCACCACGCTCAGATGTATGCAAGACATGGGTTTCAGCCGTCACATTCCTTATGTTAAGTCACTCTTGAACAAGAGACAGCGTCAGAAGCATCTCACCTGGGCTAAAGACAAAAAGGACTGGACTGCTGCTGAGTGGTCCAAAGTTATGTTCTCTGATGAAAGTAAATTTTGAATTTCCTTTGGAAATCAAGGTCTCAGAGTCTGGAGGAAGAGAGGAGAGGCACCGAGTCCACGTTGTTTGAGGTCCAGTGTCAAGTTTCCACAGTCAGTGATGGTTTGGGGCATGTCATCTGCTGGTGTTGGTCCACTGTGTTTTCTAAGTTCCAAGGTCAACACAGTCGTCTACCAGGAAGTTTTAGAACACTTCATGCTTCCTGCTGATGACCAACTTTATGGAGATGCCAATTTCATTTTCCAGCAGGACTTGGCACCTGCACACAGTGCCAAAGCTACCAGTACCTGGTTTAAGGACCATGGTCTCCCTGTTCTTAAATGGCCAGCAAACTCGCCTGACCTTAACACCACAGAAAATCTATGAGGTATTGTGAAGAGGAAGATGCGATACACCAGAGCCAACAATTCAGAAGAGCTGAAGGCCACTATCAGATCAACCTGGATTCTCATAACACCTGAGCAGAGCCACAGACTGAACGACTCCATGTCACGCTGCATTGCTGCTGTAATCCAGGCAAAAGGAGCCTCGACTAAGTATTGATGCTGTACATGTTCATACTTTTCATGTTCATACTTTTCAGTTGG